CAGCCGAAGTAAGGGTAAGGCTGAAGAGTGGTTGGCTGGATTAAACCAACTCTTTGTTACTCTTTAGCTGAAGTGAGGACATCGGCTAAAGAGTGGTTGGCTGAATTACACCAACTCTTTGTACTCTTCAGCCAAAGTAAGGGTATGGCTGAAGAGTGGTTGGCTGGATTAAACCAACTTTTGTTACTCTTCAACCGAAGTAAGGGTATGGCTGAAGGGTGGTTGGCTGGACTAAACCAACTCCTAGTACTCTTTAGTCGAAGTAAGTACAATCGGCTAAAGAATGGTTGGCTGGACTAAACCAACTTAGCAGTTGGCAGAATTAAACCAACACTTTGTACTCTTCAGCCGAAGTAATTATGTCGGCTAAAGAGTGGTTGGCTAGTAAGTGTAGTTAGATTGACCAGCTAAAACCGGAATAACAGTTGGAACAAGAAAAAATGATTTCCATTGATCTAGTTTAGAAAGATTACATGGGAGGGGCTCCTAGCCCGGTTACAAGTCAGAGCAAACAAAAGAAAAAGAAAAATTACAGAATCAGTTGAAAAGATTCTCCAGATCAGCGTCAACATCAATAGGAACACCGGTGTCAGAGGTTAAAGTAGTCTCAGTTTGAAGCCCGGTCTCTATCGGAAGCACGGTTTCGGTTGTGAAGTCTTCCGCCGTTAGCTCCAACCGAGCTGATTGATCATTTGTTTGCACGTTGACAGCCGGAGTTTCAGTTTGCTCATTTTCTTCATCAGCAGACTCCTCAAGAAATTGCTTCTCGAGATCGGCAGCATACCCCGCCAGTGAGTCCGATATGAAATACTGTGGAGCATTGTAGACCTCGGTGTCAGGACCACTACCGAGCTGCTCTACAGCACCCCTTCAGCCACATTTGAAGAAAAGGTCCTTCGCAGTTTCGCACTACTGGATATACAAGGCTTCACCTTCTTTGAAACCTCGGCTTTCAGCTTCCTCCAGCTTCTTCTCAAGCTCAGCTATTTTGGCTTTATTTTTGCCTTCAAGTTTGGCCAACTCGCGCAAGTATTTGTCTTTCACCGTTGCTGCAATTTTTTGTTTTTCTGCTTCAGCCGAGCTAACAAGCCGGTCAAGTTCGGTCAAGCGACCGTTCTCGGACTGTAGCTCGGCTATCTGCTTCTTGGCTTCCTCCAGCTCGGCTGTCTTTGCCTCGGCATCTGCCATGGCCTGCCTGGTAGTCTTGCGGAGCTCCAACACTTTCTTATGTGCAATGTTGTTATTCTGAATGGCCTGCAAAAGAGTAGTGACTTTCTTTAGCCGGACTGACAGTTCTCCCAAGTTAGACAAAGAAAAGGGAGAGTCACTTACCAGGATCATTGATTTTGTTGATGACCGGATGGGCTTCAGCTCGGTGTTTAGTTGTCTGTTGTGGTGCTCCATGTCTTTTGGAAGGCAAACACTCTTGGCTAGATTGAAAGCCATCAAGTGATCCTTCTTAGCAACAACCGAGCCAGTTTTCTGAATATTTCGATTTTGAAAGGTAAGACTTGGAGCCCATTTGGAGGAGTCAGCTCGGTCAGAGTACTCCGGTTGAGGGCTGGGCGGAAGAATGGTCTCATCCTCGTCAACAAGTCGTTGCTCGGTTTGGCTAGTCCGGGCACGCTTGTTCGCCCGAGATGAGGATGGCTACTGGGATGGAAGGGCTACCACGGTCTCAGTCGTTCTGACGGTTTTTGTGGTACCTCGGGTCGGTTGGTCTCGGTCAAGAGGGCCTGACTCTGTTTCTCTTGGCCATTTCTTCTTCAGCGGTCAGTGGGATTAGTCTGATTTCTGGCAAGGTTGGGTCCGGTTCTGGGGCTCCTCTAGCAGAAAGTCGGTCACTCTCGGCTTTTCGGCAGCCGCTGTATCTATAGGTCGGCTCGAACTTTAGCAGCTTGGCCCAACTACGTTCTGGATACCGTAGTGCGGCGCACAAGGTCGCTAAATTTGGGTAGGCTGTATAAAGAATGAAGGTGGGCAAAATCTGGGAAAGAAAGACAACTGTTAGTTCGGCTGAAAGATTGAAAAATCGAAATATAGTAAAGCACGCAAGAAAATCGAAGTAAATATATCGGGTTCTCCTTTTTTCCAATTAATGCTTCGGCCAGGAATATGGGCTTGGTGATCCTCAAAGTTCCCAGACACCCAGAAAAAATCGTGTTATTCAAGTCTTTATCCGGTGTGTTTTTTATTATTTTTCTATGTCAACGGTGTATTCTAAGATAGTACACCCCAGCCGTCTTCCTTTGAGCCAATGGAGTATTGATGAAAGATTTCGGCCAGACCGAGGTTGAGACCGGCTTGGCGGTTTTAGTTCGGCTATTCCCATTATTATACGGTAATGAAATTGGTGGATAGTTGGGTTGGGCATAGTCTAGTTTGCCTAAGAAACTCACAAATTAAGGGTTGGACTGGAAATCGTAGTCCGGTTTCAATTATGGATAAGAGGGTGAATGGGACAAAGCCTTCATTTCCCCAAGGTATGACATCTTTTTCGGCTAAGATTAGGTGGACGTCGTCGGGTATATTGTAATCTTTTCGGAATTCGGCTAGACCGCCCGGAGTATTTACTAGAAACCTATACTTTCCCATTTATTGTATAATTTATGAATAAATTAGTTCGGTCCAAAAATTGTGCTCAGTAGCTAGGTTGAGTGCGTAGAGGAGTGCTTGGGCAACCTAGGTCTGCAAAGTGGAAAACAAAGGTGTTAAGCACAGATCGTTGACCGTGTTACAAAATCAAAGTAAAGATGAAGAAGTCCTACTTCGGCTTATGGGGGATGCTATAGGGTTTATCTCGGTTCAACAAAGTATATGGTAGCTCGGATTGAGCAAGGGGTTTGATAGATCGGTTTGTGTTTGGGATTGGTTTTATACGGTTTGAACTACGGATTTTGTTACCTCGGTCAAACCTATAGGGGCAGCTTTGTTAGTTCGGGTTAAAAACTAGGAAAGTTGGCTTAGCCCCGAAGACTTAGCTCGGTCGAAGGCAAAGGTTTCCAGTTTGCTTAGTTCAAACTTAATTCGGTTCATTTATCTCGGTTAGAGTAAATCAGAAGGTGGTTTGACTTGGTGAAGCTACTAGTTTTGTGTGAAGTGTTAGTTCGGTGGGTAGCCTGGCTATGCAGGCACCAGCCACAAACAACTTTTTAATTCGGTTATGTTGGGGTTGTGGATCAAAAGTTATGTTCTACAGGTTTTGTGAAGTTGAGTGGTTCTATTACATGTTTTTGCAAAAAAGACGAAGGCTAAACAGAAAAAGTGTTTGCAAAAAGCACACAAAACAAAATATGGATTGAACAAATACAAAAACAAACAGAGCAAGAAAGATAGATTTGCTTACCGGATTGAAGTAGAAGACCTGGAAATGGAAGCAACGGCAGTAAAAGAGGAACAACGAAGCAAGCTTCACAGTTGCGAAAGTTGGAGAGCAATGGAGCTTGAAAGAGAGAATGAGGGAAATAAGAAATGCAGTGGTGAATCCAAAAATGAGGAGATTGTTTTGTGAAAAGGACAAAAGTGGAAGGGCGGGAACTGTTCAAATTTTGCGAAGTACGAGGGCGGCGGGATAGCTGTAGAGGGCCAATCAGGACCAGCCACGTGTCATTAGAATAAGAATCGATTCAGTAGCTGTGATTGAAGGGACATTCTGACCGAACAAGTACGGCCCGGTATGAATTTAGTTTGGCTGGAACAGAAGAGGAATCTTAGCTCGGCTGGAAGTCAGGTAATCTCTATCATGCTTCGCAGATAGAATTAAGGGGCAATTGTAAGGGTAATTTGTATGAAAAATTGGGCCGAGCTGGGTAAATGGGCCGTTTCGGGCCGCAATACGAAGGGCTGAGTAAAAGGGCCAGAGTTAGACCGGCCCAGGGGAATCTTGAAGTTACACCGGTCCCGAGGTAAGCTCGGTCGTCGCAGAAAGTTAACTCGGTCATAGTCTTGCGTAGGTATCTTGGTTACCATAGGCGTGGATAGCTCGGCCGCACTATTTGGAACCAAGGCATGATGAAGAGAAAGCATGTCTCACTCTTAATTTAGCTCGGTCTCGACAGGGAAACCGAGGTACAAACTGCGGAGTAAAAGACCAGGCTAGTTGAATCTCGGCCATGTGGTAGCTAGCGTAGCATGGTCATTTTACTTCGGTCGTGGTAGCCCGGCCATGGAAGAACCATCTCACTTAGTTTAAGCAGTGAGGGGGGTGTTGGAGGATAAGGATTATTCTTCAGGAGGTTAAATCCTATGAGGACTCTGCATGGAGAAGTAAAAGTCCTACTAGGATTGTGCCACACGAAACCTATAAAGCTCACAAATATCACCTTTGGAAAGGTAACACACAACTTTGCTTTCTGAATATACAGAACTTTTGTCTATATGTCAAGCTTACTAACTTAGGCATCAGAGAGGTTTCCGGCACACACCCGCTGGCTAGCTCACGTTTGTGTTTTCAGGTGATAAAGCGACGACGTACAGAGGAGCGCAGACTTGATCAACAGGATTATACGAGAAGGCTTATTTCTTTCCCGTACAAGTATGCACCCCGAAACCTCATTGTTTGGTAAAAAATAGAAACATTTTAGAAACATTACATAAGAAAAAAAAGGACTTTTTGAGGAGTAAATTTAAAGATGAAATTTGACTTGAAATTTGATAATGCAATTTTTATGACATCATCAAAATTAAATTAGGATTACAAAGAGATTTTTTGAGGAGTAGATTTAATGATTAAAAAATTGAAATGAAAATTGATGGTGTCAAATAGAATGTGAACTATTAAAGTGGTATAGATAAAAATTAACTTTTTTTGCACTATAATAAGCCAAAAATAACTTTAATAAAGTCATTAACATTTTATCTTCGAGTATAAAATAAGAAACACCACCACATACACATGCTACATGGTTGTTGGGAGTACAAAATAATTTCTTATCGGTTTATCAAAAGAAAAAAAATTTAAAAAATCACAAAAATAACTAAAAAATAAATTATATGATATAGATTCAAATTTAATATTACATAAATCATACATAGAATAGAATCATACGTTTTAGAAACGACATAATGCATGAATTGTAGCCTTGTGATGAGATTACAATCAACAGAAAGTTGATTATATATTAATTATTTTCACATAATAGTTTCAATCCCATAAAAATTTTCTTGAGAGAGCAATGAGTTGAATCGGAGCATTAATAAATCAAAGTCATCCTGGGTCTTGATGAGGCTGAGACGCACATACCGCCTTTCTGCACCATATACACTCCCTCTTCGGCTGATTATACCATTCTCTCTCAGCACTTCATAGCAATCTTCTTCTTCATCCCTTTCACATTTCAACCATGCATAAGCTGCCAAAAAATAAAAATAAAAAATCAACATCTAAATTGATTTTGTTTACATTCCACAAAATTGTAAACAAGAAAATAAAAATAAAAAAATAAAAAATACAAGATATACGTGGTTCAACATTGTGTTTACATTCATAAGGAGAGGGAAACGAATTACAGAAGTCAAGACCCTCTCAACTTGTCCGCTTAACAATATTGTCACATTCTCGCACAGAAATCTTACCTGAAAAAATACAATAATCTCAATGGAATATATTATAGGTGCCAAGAGATGTTCTTAGTCTTAGGCAGTGTTGTGTTACGATCTCACATTGAATCAAATTAGGTTAGGTCTTGTGAATATAAACTAATTGGGCACCTTTCTTTTGCAAGTGAGTTTTACTGGAAGGGTTCATATTACTGAACCAATGTTCCAAATCTAATTCACTCATTTCAAATTTTGTATCTTTTTCCCCCCAAATACCAAGCATCCCCATTATTTAACATTCAATTTTTCACCAATTCATGCCATTCTATAAAACATTTTCCTTTTGTTATCAACTTCCACAGTTTTCTAATGCACATTCCTCTGTTTTTGCCCTGTTTTTGCTTTCCCACTATTGTGATTTTTACATAAGAATTAGTCTACAAACACAGGAGAAATTCATAGAAATAGACACAGAAAGCAAATTGTCCCATTGGTCTGTTTTTTTTGTTCTTTTTTTCTTCCTCATAAGTAGGCCCTACTATCTGACGTGTTACACCACCATATTTTTTGTGTGAGTCCTACAAACATACATGTAAGTAGATAACAAAGTTGATAAATTAGATATTATATATTATTATTTACTTATTTATTTCCAGATTGAGAAGCTAGTATTGAGTGAATGAGAATGATGATCACCTGGAGAAGGTCCTCTGAGTTGTTGATAAAAAGTGCAAAATTGGGGTTCAATTTTTTGGATAGAGAAGCGATTCGATTCCGATAATGCCTTGCTCAGAATTTCCCAGCGCTTCCTCATTGTTGTGAATCCAAACTCAAAAATATCACTACCATTATTCCCTTGGAAAATTGCTTTGAGTTGCTGCAATGCTATTAACTGGGTGTCATGAGAAACCCCAAAGCTAATTTGATCAGTATACTTCAACATTCTCTCATAAACTTCCTCATCCTTTATCAATGCCCACCTGTATAATCAAAAAAACAATGCAATATTACTGTCTAGTTTGCGTCGACTAGAAAATGCTATGCACCAGAAAAATATATAGAAAAGTGCTCATAAAGTAAAATGTATGACCTAATTTATTTTAAATATAATCCATACCAAATTTGAATCTACATCAAATACTTCATTTTCTGGACATTTGTCTAAAGGTTTTTTTCTTTCATCATGACTGAAACTCAGGGCTGGCGTGACATATGTATTTTAGCAATTTTTGGTTATTTGTTCCTGCTTTTGTTTTTCAGTTTTACTAAAAAAAATTTAAATTAAAAAAAAAATCCATTAGAGACAAAAAAATAAGAAGCAAAAAAGTTAAAATTTTTCCACATGTACAGACGATGTCCAAAATGGACTTATAAGATGGCATGTATTTTAACTTAGAGGTCAAAATAACGAACTTACGAAACCGCTTGTTGAGATCATAATAGATAATACCTAAATTTGTCTACATTTAATATGGGATATCAACACTTATTTAAAATTCTAAGGATAAACTACCAATAGGTCTTAATAGTTGGACTTAATTTCCATCAAGTCTTATTGAAAATAAGTCTTGGTAAAATTGTCGTTAAAAATATTTTTTTTGTGACAATTATTTATATGTGTCGCTAAAAATTGACAATTAGTATTTTTTTTTTGTCATAATTTTTATAAATTGTCTTTAAAACTTATAATTAGTGACGTTTTTTCATGACAAATTTTTCCGGTAGGACCAATTAGACAATAAGTCTACTTAGTAGGACTTACACGTAAGTACCCTAAATTCTAAAGCTATGTTTTGATCTTGAATTTATAGAGAAAAAATATATAAATAAAAGAGAAGGAAAAAAAAGACCACAAATCCAAACACAACCTAAGTAGAAATAATAGCAATACACTACTATGAAGCCAAGTTAATCTTAACATTGGTTTAAATACTCAAGTGCATATGTAAGTCCTAGAGTAGTGATAATTGGACTTACCCAAATCTGGAGCCAGCATGGCCAGTAAGCTTAGAAAGAGTAAACAACATGAGATCTTCATCAGCTGGTGCTGGAATTGCTGTAAAATGGGGCCAATAATAAGCATGATCGTGAATTGTTTTCACTGAGGACCCTCTCAGCACTGCCTTCTTCAACTGACCATCAGGGTTGTTTGGTGAAGTCACAAACTCAATCATATTCATATTCACATCTGAAGTGTTCTTCCACATTGATGTATCTCCAACAAACTTATAGTCCATTGATCGGAAAAAGTTCGTTTGTGACTTGTAGGCCTGCCAAAAAATATACCGAGACTTTTTTTATCAGTAAAAATACAAACTCAGAATTTTTACCGGACTTGTCAATCTATGGTCCACGTTTATTTTATAAATGGATCCCACGCAATACCAATTCAATCTTCACCGCACGATCATATTATTGGTTTATAGGATTTCTGTTTATAAATATATATATATATATATATGGTTATATTTTTGGAATTTGTGTTAGATTTTATGAGTGAAAAATAATTTAAATAAATTAAAAACTTGATTATGACTGGAAAGTTAGAGAAGAATAGTTTTAATTTCTATTTATTTTCTGATAATCAATTTTGAACTTAAAAAAAATTAGGAGAAAGAAACTTAAGTTGGATTATAGGGGTGTTTTTCTTGGACTGAAAAAATTCAATATTTTTAAAATGGAGAAATTTACAATGAGCACCTTTTCAAATGGTGCACATTATAAAAAAGTAACGATTTTTTATGAGGAATGTTATGATTGTCTATGATGTATGTTATGACATTTTGTAGTAAAGTTATGAATAGCGAATTTATGATGTATATCTTAAAATTGAGAATGATAATGTTATGACATTTTGTGATTTTTGTTATGACACTTTGGGATTTTGTTATGACATTTTTTAGTGAAAAAAAGTTATAACTTTTGTAGTTAAAAAGTTATGACATTTTGTGTTTAAGTTATGAAATTTTATAAAAAAAATTATGAAAAACATATTATATACACCTTTTTGATGGTGCACATTGTAACATCTCCCTTTTAAAATAAGTCTCACTAACAAATGTTTTTGAAGTACAAGAAAAAGACAAAAATAAAAACACTTTTTACACAAATTTCAACATTAAACAATATTATTAAGACACTTGTTAGCATATTTGTCTTTTAACTAAAAAGTAGTTAGGTCCGTATAAAAAAATTACGGACAATTTAAACTTAAAGACTTAAAAAAATCTTCAATCTGCCAAGAACTTTCATGTTTTCCACATGTTATCCAAAAAATAAGCAAAACACATTTACAATTGATTTAAAAAAATTTAATCCAATAGTCTAAAAAGCCATAAATTGGGTTAGGAGAACAACCGGGTAGAAAGGGATGGTAGCTACGACCCCAGCAGGAGAAGAAGAGTTGGAAAGGGCATGAACTGCTACATTAAGGAGTTGGGTAGATCCAACACCAAACACTATGAATCTCCCTTCTGTCACTGCATTCCCAACTCTCTCATGTAGTTTTCTGATGTGTTTTTCAAGCTCTTCTGAGATTATAGAGTGGTCATTGAAAGCATAGCTCATTCTGTGCCACCCTGCCACTACTACTGCACCTTTAGCTGCATGTTGCATCCAGTAGGGCTCCAAGAATAACGGATTCCCACTACAAAACAACCCACACAACTTGGTAATCAGTTGTACATAGTCTTATTCTTATATGGAAAGAGACTGTTTTCGTAATTTGAAGTCATAAGATTGAGATCACAAAAGGTAAATTACACTGATATCTCTTGAGATGTGGCAAAAAAAATATAGTTAATTTCACAAATTTGACAAGATAAAATTAGGCCCTATAAGGTTTTATTTTATTTTATTTTATTTTATTTTTTAAATTTACACAACACTTAATCCTACTTTCATTAATAATTCGTTAGTCACGTAAATAGAAAAATATATTGTCATATTTTTTTTCCCTACTGAAATATATATTTTATCTTATTTATTTTTGTACCTCACCTTTTAGCTTTTCAAAAAAAAAAAAATCAGTGTAATTATTCCAAAATAATGTGACTTCTTGTATTTTTATTTTTTTTTTTCAAATATGAGGGAGGTTAGTCTAATTTACCCAAAAGAAATTGTAGTAAAAAGATTAAATTATTTTATGAATGTGACATTTCAATTGTTAATATTATGAAGGGAAATTCTATTATACACACTCCACGCCATATGTATTTTTAATTATGTCATTTTCTTTTTTAATTATGATCAAATTTCTTCTTTAGTTATCATCTTATTTTAATATTTTGGTTATGATTTTTTTGTCTTAGTTAGGATTTTTATTTTTTTAATTATAATTCAAAAGTATAAAATTATACTATTTTTTCTATAATTATAGTACACACCCTCATAGTCTTTTCCCTATTATGGTACATGGTGACAAAATTCTCTGGGTAATACTTTCTAATGTGTATTATATTTACATATTATGTTTTTGTCATGTCTTAGCTCTTTATTTACAAGGATGAGCGGTACACGTATTTTACATCTTTATGGCCAAATCTCTTTAAATTGTATTTGGTTGGAGAATTTGACAAGAGAAATAAAAAAAAAAATGTAATACAATCTCACTTTTTATTTGATTGTAATGAAAAATATATAAGAAAAATGAGAGAAAAATTCAAGTTCAACTTAAGTTATTTTCTTTCCCATTTCTCAACTCAATTAAATATAGTTTAAAATTTGAATCTTAACAATTTTTTTTTCTATATATATATATATATTTTTTTCTCTCTATTTTCTTATCAAAATTTTCAGTCAAAACACATTTCTTGTCCAATCATATGATGGTGATCAGCATTTAAATTCAACTGAGGGACTTGAAAGCTGAATGTTGACATGGGTGTGGTGGGAACACCAATGTGAATCTTTAATTGTGTACCAATTTTTTCCTAGTTACAGCACGTCTCAGGTAGAATTAAATATTATAAATTATTCAAAATACTTACATAAGCGTGAAGAAAAATATTTAGTGGTCACAAATTTTGTGGTTTAAATAGCTCGAAACTGTTAAAATGACGTCGTTTTGACTCGTTTTACATCTAAAACGACGTTATTTTAGATGTTTCGAGTCATTCAAGTCACAAATTTTATGACCTTCTACAATTGCTGAAGTGTGAATCTCTTTTAAAATTACAAGAGTAAGGAATGTATACCCACGTTAGTATTATGAATATTTTTTGTAATTTAATTTACAATGAAATTTTCTCTCCTTACTTTTCTTGTCCTTTTGTCTCAATTTTTTTTATTACATACAGAATACCTTAGCTACATATGCACCACACAAGCCTTAAAATTATATCTGGTTCATAAATTTATGAATAGATTTGGAAAAGAAAAGAAAAGAAAAAAAAAAATATATATATATATACTTTTATTTTACCTAATTTTATATATATATATATTTTTATTTTTTTTCTAAATTTCTTCCTAAGTCAATGAACCAATCACAACTTAAAGAAATCATTCCAAAGGAAACTGAACACTTTGGTGTAAGAAATTGAACAAGATCAATCACATGATTATTTATTCATGTTGGAGTGGTTTTGGAATTGACCATTTTAATTAATTTTTTGATATTTGATAAAAAAAAAAATACAAAAAATGATATGACAACTTGTGCTTTGTTTCAAAAAAGTGTGAACTTTTTGTGTTAAGGAAAGGAATCAAACACACAAGCCACTATGTGGGAGCACTATCGAATCAAATATTTTTATTTTTCTCAAACTTAAAATTTAGACTTGTTATGTGTGAAAAGGAAACTGTATGTAATCAAGCAAGAGTCGAGACAAAGCTCCAAAGATCCTTATTTAAATAAAAAAAAAAAACCGTATATTTCTGTGTATTTGATCTTCTTAGATTTCATTTAATTGAAAATACATGTTTAGTTTGATTTTAAAATTTTATTTCAGAATTTTTTTGTTTAAATTTAAAAATTAATTTAGTAAAAGAAATAATAAAATAAAAAATACCAATTATATTTATATAATTTTATCTTATGTGAGGCCAAGAAATATTTTTTAAAATTTTAAAATTACATTTTTATTAAACTAGTTTTCATTTTTTTCAAAAAATTCTGATTTTTTTTTTTTTCGAAACACAAACTAAACATGACTTTTTTACTCTCATGTTCATTCTTCCTTATCGCTTTGGTTGAAGAATTTGGGAAACATTTGGAAAGGAAAATAGAAAAAGAAAGAATAATGTAAATAAAATATACTTATATTTCACTAAGTTTCATATACTTTTTTCCTTTTCTTTTTTAAATCCCTTTCTAAATTTCCGACTAAACACAGCATAAGAGTTTCATCTTTCTAAACAGAGAGAGAGAGAGAGGAGACCTGTCTACGTCTGCAGGACAAGCAGGGGAAAATTGAGTTTTTTTTTCAAAACACAAACTAAACATGACTTTTTTACTCTCATGTTCATTCTTCCTTATCGCTTTGGTTGAAGAATTTGGGAAACATTTGGAAAGGAAAATAAAAAAAAGAAAGAATAATATAAATAAAATATACTTATATTTCACTAAGTTTTATATACTTTTTTCCTTTTCTTTTTCAAATCCCTTTCTAAATTTCCGACTAAACACACCATAAGAGTTTCATCTTTCTAAACAGAGAGAGAGAGAGAGAGGAGACCTGTCTACATCTGCAGGACAAGCAGGGGAAAATTGAGAGCAATCAGGGCCAGCAAAGCATGTATTGCACTCACAAACTGGTTTTCCATGAACAACTAAACCATCTAAGTAGGCTCTTCCATGGCCTGAGCATGGCTGTGCTGCCACATCTTCAGCTTCCTCTGCAGCTCTTATGCTCCAACTCAGCTTCCATTTCTCACCCACAACCAAGTAGACTACCAACAATAGATTTACCACCACAGATGTCCCTAAACACATTCCATACTTAGCTCTATCAATCTTGCCTGCCATTTTTCCCTTCTATTTGCTCATCTCATCTCTTCATAGTAATTTGGTGAGCTTTTCATTCCTAAATAATCAGAAAAAATTGGCTATGGTCCATGGCAGTGACTTCTTCTCGTGCAATACATAGGTACGAAATAAGATCTGTGATATGATATGCTCTGTCCTTAAATTCTTATTTTTTTTCTATCTCAATATATTTATGATCGTAGGATGATACGAAAATCCCAAGACTATCAAAGGTGTGTATAAAGGAGAATTTTCCTACAGAGATGTCGTATTCCACCTTTATGATTCCAGTTTTATGGGAATCTAGCCCTCCAATCAAATTGCAATTCATATTTTACCCCAGACTTTGAATAGATTATCATAATACCCCTTATTAAATTTATATATATTTAGGGCCCTTTTGGCAACACTAAAAATAAACAGTTCATTGGTTTATTTGGATGATACCATCTCTTAATTTTTCTGGACGTCTTTTTGTAATAAACAAAAAAATCAAAAAATAGACCTTAATTTTAGCATAAACAACTTTTTATGTCAATTTTGATAGCCGAAATTCCACATGTTAATTCAAATTTTAATGTCAATCCTTCATCAAATTCCACTTAAAAATGAACAAAATTTATCACATGTTACCAATTAATCTATCTATTAAGAGAAATGAAGGAAACCAAAATAGGACATTACTACTCTTAATCAAAGTTAACAACAGTTAAAAGTAGAGGGTTGGTACTGAAGTTTGACAAAAATACAGATTTAACTATATGGAAGTATAATAATTAAATCAAAATTTGGATCAAAGTATAAAGTGTAATATACCTTTAATTTTATAACCCAGGGGACAATGCATCAGAAGGTGAAGGATATACCATCTTAGCATTCCCAAATTAGTTTAACAAAGATGCAAAGGATTTCAAGAAAATCTGGCTATTTTGATAGTGACAAAAGAGCAATTGGAGCACACTTTGATTGGTCAAGTGCGTGACTAATACAGATGGTAGTGGATTAGCTCAAAGGACTAAAACATCAATTTTAAATGGAGAAATTTTATTGGAAATTTTGGCATTATTTCAATTTTCAAGCAATGTTGGATTTGACTATTCTCATTGTCACTATTGGTTGATAATTTAGTGAGTTTGGAAAGAACCTCAAAGAGGGAAATAAAACATAACTATTGTTGACGTTTGCAGGAAAAAATGGCGTGACGACAAAGTTTATAAATTGATTACGTAAAATCTTCAGAAAAAAGAGAGAATAAAAAATATTATTTGCAGAAAATGAATGGAATTTAGTAGTGAAAGAAGTTTTCAAATTGATTAGGCAACATCTTCAGAAAAAAGGACAAAAAAAAAAAGAGAAAAAATAATTGATTGATGATGAGCGGATCTCAATCAAGTGAAATGCGTAGTATGTAGAGAAGACAAGTCTCTTCGGTCCTCTTCAAGTCCCCAAGATAGTGTTTGAATTTTTATTATTTATTGGGGTTTATTTCTCCCCATTATGGGGTTGATTGTAGTTACTTATTTCTAGTTAAGTGTGGGCTAGCACTTCAAGAAAAGTGAGTTTATGAGATGGAATTATTTGCGACGGCACACTTGTCGTCTCAAAAAATTACTTTTTGTGACGGCAAAAAATGCCGTCTTAAAAAAACAGAGCATTTGCGACGGCACAATTTGCCGTCTCAAAAAATGAGAGTATTTGCGACGGCATGATATTCTGCTTTTTTGAGATGGCATTTTCTGTCGTCGCAAAAAGTGACTTTCGTTTTTTATTTTTATTTTTAGTGAATATTTTTAAAATTTTAAATATTTTTTTTAGATGCACCTTACTTAGATGTATCTAAAAAAAATATGAAATTTTTTAAAAAAAAATTAATAAATACATAAAAAAACAAAAAAAAAATGTATTGAATTATTGTATTTTTTGTATATAGTGAATTTTTAAAAGATTTTTTTTACAATTTTTTTAATTTTTAGGTGTATTTATGTTAGGTGTGTCTAAAAATTAAAAAAAATATTTAAAATATTAAAAAAATTCAGTAAAAACAATATAACACGAAAAACAAGAAAGTATAATTTTCTCAAAAGAGTTTTTGGAAAACTCTAACCTAGCATAATGATTGTGGTTTTGAGACAGCTTCATATATATACAGTCACAAAATGGTTTGAATAAATTCAAGGGTATTTTTCTGTCGCAAAAAAAAATAAAAAAACAATGTCGTCTTACTCTTTTGATATAACATTTCTCTTTTCATTCATTTTTTCATCTTCATGTCTCTCTGTCTCTGTCTCTATCTCTCTCTTCTCTTTATATCTTTCACTCATCACTCTTCTTTCTCTGTCTGTCTGTTTCTTTCTCTCATTTTCTTTCTGTGTCTCTCGCATATCTCTCTTCTCTCTATCTCTCTCATCTGTTTTCTATCTCTGTCTCTCTCGCTCATCTCTCTTCTCTCTATCTCTCTCATTTCTTTTCTCTTTTTCTCTCTATCTCTCTCTCTTATCTTTCTATCTCTCTCGTCCATTTCTCTTCTTTCTCTGTCTCTCTCTTTTTCTGTGTCTCTCTCTCGTTCATCTCTTTTCGCTCTATTTCTCTCCCTTTTTGTCTATCTCTTGCTCATCTTTTGTTTCTCTCTTTTTCTATCTCTTTTTCTGTCTATCTCTCTCTCTCTATCTCTTTTTCTGTCTATCTCTCTCTCTCCCTATCTCTTTCTCACTCATCACTCTTCTTTCTCTCTCTCTCTCTCTCTCTCTGTCTACTTATCTATTTGTCTATTTCACTCTCACTATGTTCGCCTTGCTCACTCTCTTACTCCCATCTTCTCTATTTATCGAGCTCCTTCTCGATTTATTGATCCACTATAAACGACGTCGTCTTACTCTTTTGAACATTTCTCTTTTCACCTATTTTTTCATCTTTCTATCTCTCTGTCTCTGTCTCTCTTCTCTTTCTCTCTCTTACTCATCACTCTTCTCTGTCTGTCTGTCTCTCCCTTTCTCTATATGTCTCTGTCTCTCTTCTCTCTGTCTCTCTCTCTCTCACTCATCACTCTTCTCTGTCTGTCCGTCTTTCTTTTTCTCTTTGTGTTTCTGTCTCTCTTCTCTTTCTCTCTTACACTCATCACTCTTCTCTGTCCGTCTGTCTGTCTGTCTCTTTTTCTCTATGTCTCTCGTCCAACTCTCTTCTCTCTATCTCTTTCATATATCTTCTCTCTCGTCTCTCTTCTCTCTCTCTTCTTTTTTTCTCTCTCGCTCATCTCTTTTTGTCTCTCTCTCGTTTATCTATTTTCGCTCTTTTTTCTCTCTCTTTCTTTCGCTCTTCTTTGTCTGTATGTCTCTCTCTCTCTCTCTATGTGTCTCTGTCTCTCTTATCTCTCCCTCTCTCTCACTCATCACTCTTCTTTGTCTGTCTGTCTCTTTATTTCTCTCTATGTCTCTATCTCTCTTCTCTTTCTCTCTCACACTCATTATTCATCACTCTTTTCTGTCTGTCTGTCTCTCTTTCTCTCTGTGTCTCTCATCCATTTTTTCATCTTCCTTTCTCTCTCTCACTCATCACTCTTCTCTCTCTGTGTGTTTGTCTATCTGTCTGTCTCTCTCTCTGTGTCTCTTACTCATCTATCTCTTTTCTCTCTCTATCTCTTTCGCTCATCTCTCTATCTCTCTCTGTCTCTTTTCTCTCTATTTCTCTTATTCATCTCTCTTCTTTCTATGTCTCTCTCACTCATCTCTCTATGTCTCTCCCACTCATCTCTCTTCTCTCTATCTCTCTTCTGTCTTTGTCTCTCTCTCTCTCTCTCTTCTCTATCTGTCTCTCACTCACCTCTCTCTCTCTCTCTCTCACCACTTATCTCCTTTACCACATTCACCACTACTGCAAACGTCATTCCACTACCACCTTACTACCACTGTCGTCACTTCACCTCTACGATTACCATTATTACTACCACCATTGCCACCACTTCACTACCACTACTGCCATTACTACTACCATTACCTATCCTTCACCTCTACCACTCCATCTACTCTACCACTACCACAACTTCACCACTAATCTCCTTCGCCATCACCACCACCACCACCATCATCTCTTATCCACCACCTACACCACTACTGCCGCTCCCTCTTCTCTAACACAAAAAATTAATTCATAATTTTTAATAACCAAAAAAAATGGACAGCAAAAAAATATTGCCCCTACTTCTACCAAATATAAAATAATATTATTTTTTTTTCATTAAAATAAAAATGAAACAAATAAATTTTCAATCTTCGTAACTAAAAAAAAAAGAAATTTTTTTAAAAAAATTCATTAACTAGAAAAAATATATATTTTAACAAAAAATAAATTTTTTTGACGATAGCAACCCCAATCTCAAAAATAAAATAAAATAAAAAATTAAACGGCGTTATTTTGTTATTTAAATTTCATTTTTGACCCTTAAAATATATATATATATATATATTTTTTTTTATTCTTTTTTTTGTTCCCCCCCCCTTTTTTTTAGCTTTCCCGCTCCCCCGCCCCCAAAAGCAAAAAAATCCCCAATCTCTCAAACCCAAAAATCCCTAATCTGTTCTTACCCCCCTCTCTCTCGAGATAGACGGCGAGCGGCGGAGACAACCGGTGACTCCACCACCGTTCCTAGCCTGAATGACTTCTCGGACCTCATCCTCCTCCTCATCCTCTCATTTCTCCCCACTCTTGATGCCATTCGAACCACCTGTCTCTCTCACAAATGGCGAAACCTCTGGTTCTCTGTCTCCTCTCTCAACTTCGACTACCCTCCCTTCCCTCCCTCCGACTTTCCCTCCGACACCCGTCGTCTCTTTACCAACTTCGTTGACCAAGCCCTAATCTTTCGCCAACCCCTCTCTCCCCTCATGCTCTGCTTCCAGTTTGACTTCCGTGAATACCTCTATCTCTATTTCTCGCTCTGGAACTTCTATTCTCAGAATGAGGGACGAAGAGAGGCATTAATTTCTCTTTCCAGACAACTTGCTCTCCATGTAATTTCTCTTTCCATTTTCTTTTCAAAATGTTGTTTTTTACATTTTCCTTTTTTGATTAATATCTTCTTCTATAAAATCTGGTTCTGATTGGTCTCATTTCCTATTAATTTTTTATTTTTTAGATTCTCAAACATTTTTGATTATGCTTAGAATGAGTGGTTTGAAAAAATATTGGATAAAAAATAAATAAAAATTTAATTGCAATTGCATTTGATGCATGTTTCATTTAATGTTATTTTTCATTTATTTGATTTGATTTAATTTTTTTTGATTAATTATTAATGTGGAACCCATTTTATTAATTAATAATTATGTTTGTAATATGATCGAATTTTTAGTATCATCCGGATGTTTGCAGAGGAAACAATTGAAGATTTACAATTTTGGGTAGGTGAGGATGGAGGGTATGGTGAAGAAATATCAGCAAAAATTTAGAAAAGTGAAAGAAGAGATGAGTCGATGGGACGAACTTCAAACTAGGTTGCTTTCCCAGTTCCGGAACTCATCTTCTATCATTCAGAGGTTACAGGTCCCTTCTAATTCACCACAACATACTTATAATATGAAATAGCTTATGAATTGTTCTTCATATTATAATTTGTGTTTTGTTTTTTGTTTTTGTTTGATTACAGGTTATCCAAAATCCCAAGAACTATGGTGCCTTGAAATGTATTGCTGGCATTGAAGATTTGGTCTTGAGAAAGTAGATGGAATCTTTGGAATCTATCTTGCTTTCCATGAATCAGACTCTGTAAGTTTTTGGGTTTCTATCTTTTGCTCTGTGCAATTTGTTGAGAAAATCTTGGATGAGAAAAAAAAATCTCAACTTTTGAACTTATGATGATTATTTTGTTTATATTTTGGTAAAGCGAGCATAGCATTATCTTTCTTTCCATAAATAAGACTCTGTAAGTTATTGGGTTTCTATCTTTTGCTCTGTGCAATTTATTGAGAAAATTTTGGATAAGAAAAAAAATTGCAACTTTTGAACTTATGGTGATGATTTTGTTTATATTTTGTGAAAGTAAGCATAGCAAGTTGGGATTGGGGCTTTTAGTTTTAGCATTTTTTTTGAAATGATAGGAACAAAATTTTTAATGGTTGCATACTCTCCTTGAAGGCTTTGTAAATGAAGAAATGATTTAATGCTCTCAAATCAACTCTTGAATAAAATCGTCATTGTTTTTAGAGAGTAGACGTATTTAACGATATGTGATACATTTCAAATATTTTATGTATTCTTAATCGTGATAATGTTGATCATATTGTTTTGCAACCAAGAGCGATTTTGCTCATTGACTTCTGAAGTACTCAAGTTATTGGGTTCATCGACAAATGTATGAATTTTTTAGTTTATTGTGAACTATTCCAGGGAAGAGTTTCATGGTATTGTTTTCTTTCTCAATAAAATTCTTCGTGATGGTAGACAGCTGGTTAAAGCAGGATCTATTCAGGCGGCCCCAAAACAGCTACAACAACGAATTGGTATAAAACCATCTCTAGCAGATTGTCTGGATGGGCTAAGCCTTATTTACGAGATGCACCAATCAGAGTATGTTTTGTTTTGTTTTTTTAGTGTGCTATTTGCTAAAGCACTTGGTTTTAGATAATGTTACTTGTTCATTGATGAAAGTCATATCTTCCAACAATTGTTAGTTGTGATTGCTGCATTAATAGATTACAGAGCCAACATTAAGTTTTTATTTTAATTCTCAAGACTCACTCAATTCTAGTTTTCAGGTACATTCTTAAAGCATCAATTGTATCAGCACTTTCAGCACTTGCCTTGAAGCCCAGGTATGCAAAGCGTTGCAGTTCTTCCTTATATCTCGGAATTCGTAAACCTTCTTTATGGTCAGTCACTCTCTTGTTTAAAGAGCATGAAATGTTGATGAGTTTGTGTGGACAAATTTGTTTATTACCACATTAAATGGTTGAAATTGAAATTCTCTCTCCAGTTCATATAAATAATTTGCTTCTTCTTGTTTCTAATTCACATCCTTGATGTATTTTTTATGTTATATTCTCTTGAATTTATGAATATATCTTGAATTTTTATCACTGCAGTGGCAGTGATCTAGGTGCTCTCCAGCAACTCTTAGTTGATCAACCAAACATCCCCAAAGAGGAAGGTATGCAGACTATTTAATAACGAAGCAATGAAAATTATATAAAACCATAACTGAACTGAACTTCAGTGTCAAGAATGTCCGCGAGTTGGAATATCAATAGCAAAAGATTATGTAACTCTGTTTGCAAGAAACAATTCAGATTTAAAGCCATCATGAAATTGATTAAATTGAGAAATAAACTAAAAGATATGGGAAGTAAGATAATCAGAAGAAATGGGGATGAAATAAAAGAATAAACTGATGTACTACTTTTCATGGTCCACTAGTGGAACTCTAGGCTTGACATTGAGTCTGTTAAGATTACATCAGCTCATCTAGTATTATGATAATAAAATCAGGTGAAGTCAAAGTTCGTGATTTTGAAAATTATCAAACCTAGAAAATCTCAATATGTTGGATTGAGTTTTTGGTTCAATTACCTTTTTGTATTCATAATTTCCTTGGATTGTTTTCAGCAATTCATTTGAGTTGGGAAACTTTATAGCAACTTGATTTAATGACTAGAAATTTGATTTGTCCCACTATGCTGATACCTAGAGAATTTTCTTGGCCTACGGGTTTCTATACATATAAAACAGCTGGTTCCAGTTATAATTTGCTGTAACAACCCTCATACTGTTTACTGATTGATTACCGTTAATCACCGATTACTGTTAAACGGAACTGATAATGACTGATAACTGACTGATAAATGAACTGACTAAAGTACTGAAACGACTGGCTGAAAATTTGAAATTGGAATCTGAATTAACTGAGTATATGTTAGTTAATTGCATTCTATCTGTTTGATTGTCTGATTATCTGTTCATGTTTATATGTTTAAACTGCTAATTGAAGGCCTTATCGGCGGCCGAATTAGAAACCGATTGATGTTCCGTGACCCTCATAATTAATGTGATTTTATGGTATATTTATCTAAAAACTGATTAGGTATGACTAAATTAGATTAAAATAAGCTAATTAAAGAGTTTGTTTTATTTACCATATTGCCACCCTTAGTGGCCCACTCAACATACATGTTTGAGCCTCATTACACCTTGAATCAAAACACATTTGCTCAGCCATTTTCTTGTCCTTAACCGACCAAGAGAGGGAGAGGGAGAGAAATTGAGTTCTACCTTGAAAATTGCTTGAAATTGTTTGAGAATTGAAGTGTATTTGCACATTTGAGCTCCCTCACTCCTAATTCTACAAGACTAAGGTAGGACATCTATCTTCTTGTTGCTGTTCTTGAGTTCATTCTTGCATGATTCATGTTAATTTGTAGAGCTAAGTCATGATTTGGTCCATAAATGATGGATTGAAGATCATTTCTTGCATGCATGTTTGGTGTTTGTTGTGTAGATCCACGTAGGTGAAAAAAATGGTGAAATTTATCTGGTGACAAATATCTTTTTTTTTATTATTATTATGTTTTTTTATTTTATTTAACTGTAGTCTTTAGCACCATCTTACTGTTAAATTGATTTTCTGCAAATTCACAATATTTCTCATCTAATTGCTATGTTTTCGTTGCAGTGCAATCCATATTTGACATCGTGTTTGCTGAAGAAATATGTTGATCTTCTGCTTCTTGATGATCACAAATCTTGGTTCTATGAGAGAGAAAAGGCTGATGAATGCTACATGCATTTTGATTTTAGATAACAAAGGATTATCAGTTGCCATTTTTGGCAGCCTGAAGACACGCTTGGCAAAACCATACAAGAGATGGACAATTTCTTCGTGAGTTTTGATGAATGAGGATGTGTACAAACTATCATTATGAAATTATGGAATTTTTTAGGCTTTCCAAAAAGTAATTTATATTAATTTATATTGTGTTTATTTTTTTCATTTCTTTTATATTTGTTAATTTTATCGGAGGATAATTATGGAACATTATGTAGTGGGATAATTTGGTTGATGTGTAATTATGAATGGAAGAATATTTTATTATGAAGAAATTGTTATTTTATACAGGAATTTTTATATTATTATGGAGAAATTTTAATATTTTTAATAATTTTATCGGAGGATTTTTTTTTCTTTTTTGTGACGGTACTACACTGTCGCAAAAAACAGAAAATTTTATTATTTTTATTGATTTTGTTACAGGTTTTACTTTTTGCGACGATACTAAACTGTCGCAAAAAATAGAAATTTTATTATTTTTTTAATATTTTTTGCGACGGCATTACACTGTTGCAAAAAATAAAAAAAATTATATTTTTAATATTTTTTGCGACGGCACCACACCGTCGCAAAAACAGTGTTTTTGCCGTTGCAAAAAACACTATTAGCGACGGTATATTTTGCCATCTCAAATAATATTTTTAGCGACGGTAAAATAGTGTCGTCGCAAAAAGTCAAGAAATTTCAAACATTATTAGCGACTGCACAGTGCCGTCGCAAAAGGCAAAAAATGCCGTCACAAAAACATAGTGTCGTCACAAAAACTCTTTTGCGACCCCTCCATTTGCGACCCCCTCTTGCTGTCGCAAAAAGTCATTTTGCCGTCGCAAAAAGTTTTTGCGACGGCATTAGGAGTATTAGCGACGGTATTTTACCGTCGCAAAAAGTCAATTTTTTTGTAGTGTAGTAAGGGTATCTCGGTTTGGTTTGTTTTGTTTTGTTTTTTTTTAAATTTAATTTAATTTTATTATTATTATTATTTTTACTAAATTTGAGCAATAACTTTTTTTGATATTAAGTGCTCCAACGAAGCTTCATCAAACTACCGATCGACCGGCGCGGACGACCGGATAGATGTCCAATCGATCGACTGATAGTGCAAATTTTTTACAAATTTTTGCCATGAGGTGGTCATTTGGGGAACATCCAAGGGTGAAAATCCAACGGTAATGAACAATGATTTAATGAAAGGTACGTCCGTCCTCCGTTTGATAAAAGATTTGAGAAATCCTAAATTTAATGATCTATTTTGAAATACGTCCTCCGTTTTATTTTTATACTTCTTCAACAAATTACTTAGGATTAAATTATACTAACTTAATTTTTTTTTCAGGATAGTGGGTCTTACTAACTTTTTATGCAGGGCTGATCCACCATATTTTTATTTATATTTTGTTTATTTTATACTCAATTTATATTTCGTTGTGTACGGCAAGAAACTAAATGCCACTATATCTCGGGAAACTATCCATTCATTTTAGTGCGAATGGAACTACTTGTCTTGTCCCATAACAAGAATTAAATGTATTTTTGTTTGTGTCTAGTAAATACGTGGGTGTTAAATCTTATACTCATACCAGTATACCTGTATACTGACCCGTTTTGTCTCTTGGCAACTCGGGTGCGTTCTGTTTGAGCGTAGCCGAACTTCCTTTGTAAGATTAGTTGGGGCTACGGTGGTGACGTGGAATAACTATAGTTGTTGGACATGTCTCTTGGATTTCTTTTGTTTTCTTGAGCTTAAGGTTGATATTAATTTATGTATTTATTATTTTTTTTATGACTTTAGTATTGGGATAATTTGGCATGGTTTGTAACCGTACATTATTTAAGTTATTTTGACTATTTATTATTACTTTAATGTTGGAGGTATTGGATAGTTATGAGATTATGGTGGATGATTTGGTTGGCATTTAGTTTTTTTTTTTTTTGTTTCACCCCTAACATTTGGATGATAGAATATTGATTGGGGTTTAGTCCTAATTTAATAGTTAATTGTCTAAATTTTGGGATGTAACAGTTTGGTATCAGAGCCCTAAGTTACCCTAGACTTGTGAGAGTTTAGGTGATCCTCGGATTGTGGGAACATGGGTTAGCTGGTTTAGGTTGGTGGTTAAATTTATTCTAAGTTCTTATGAACAAATTTTTGTGTGTTTAACTTGAAGGTGGTGGCTGGAAGGTATAATTTGAGAAGCGTTAAGCCTAATGGCACAGGGGAAGAAACAACTGCTAACGCAGCGGCAGCGGCAGCGACAGCGACGACTGCTACCGAGGCAACCAATACGGTGCAGGTTAATGTGGGGGAGATGATGGCTCGGTTACTTCAGGTTGTTCAGAACAATAATCAAGGGCAGCAGGGTGATCCATTTGCAAAGAGAAACAAAGACTTTGGTTCTTTGGAAGGTCAAAAATTCTCTGGGGATGGAGGACCCATTGCAGCTGACGCTTGGGTTCAGAAATGTGAGATGGTGTTTGGTCGTATACAGCTCACCGAGATCCAAAAACAGGAGTTAGCGACACATCAGCTTGAGGGAGCAGCCCTATTTTGGTAGAGCTCGTGGAATGAGGGTCTAGACATGACGACTTTGACTTGGGCAGATTTCAAGACTTGTTTTGACCGAAAGTTTGTTCCTGCTGCTATTCGGTCTCACCTGAGTAATGAATTTTTGAAATTGACTCAAGAGGGTAGAACAGTGATTGAGTATGTCACCAAGTTTAATGAGTTGTCGCATTATGCCCCTTACTTCGTCGACACGCAGAAGAAGAAGAATCAGAAGTTTATTAAGGGATTGAATCATTATCTATCTAAGTCCCTTATTCCCTTTGATGGTGAACCGTTTGACAGAGTTCTTGACTTGGCACTGAAGTATGAGGAAAAGGAGAAGCAGTTTAAAGAAGGAAAGGCCAGGTCGGAGAGACTTCTAGGGGGAGTCACTTACAGCAGCGGGATGGGAACAGATACCGACCCTATGATCAAAGGCATAAGGGTCAGCAGTTTCAGAGGCCACAGCAACAGGGTAGTCAGGGAAATTTTAGACCTCAGGGTAATTTCCGGCCTTAGGGCAATTTCCAGCCCCAGGGGCACTATTATCAGAGACAAGGTGGTCCACGCCCTTAGGGTTATCGAGGACAACGGCAACAAGTACCACAGTTGGGTTATCGTCATCCCGTACCTCAATTAGAGGGGCCCCCACCGATCCGACCAGTAGCACCTTAACTGATCAATAGGAAGTGTTTTGGGTGTCAGCAGTTGGGGCATGTAATCAAGGATTGCCCTCAGATACAGCAGACGCGACAGGGTCAGACAGCTCCAGCCAGGGCATTTGTAGTGATGCCACAAACTGACAAAGTGCAAGGTACTTTTAATCTCTTTCAAGAACCCATTAGAGTACTTTGATATTGGTGCCTCTCATTCTTTTATATCTAGACAGTTTGTAGAAAGAGAACATATTGTAACTACCTCATTGTCTAGACCTATTCGTGTTGAGACCCCTTTAGGAGGGGCAGTTAATCTTTAGGAGATGTGTAAAGATTTTGAGATTGACTTTGTAGGTAAAGTCTTGTATGCAGACCTAATTGTGTTAGGGTTTGAGGGGCTTGTAATTATTTTGGGTATGGATTGGCTGCGAAAACACTTTATGACTCTAGATTGTGCTGGAAGGACTGTAAATATAGATATTCTTGATATGCCACGACTTACCCACACTTCTAGCGATGGAGAAGAGCCGGTGATGACGAGTTTTCTATGCTCAGTAGAAATCCCTAAGCAGGATATTAGTGAGGTAGATGTGGTGCGTGAGTTTGAGGATGTATTTCAGGAGATACTTAGACCTCCACCTCGACAAGTAGTAAAATTTCGTATTGACCTAGTGCTGGGAACTGCACCGATTTCTAAGGCGGCATATAGAATGGCGCCTAAGGAGCTTGTAGAGATGAAAAAGCAACTGGAAGAGATGATTCAGAAAGGGTTCATTCGTTCAAGTAGCTCCCCGTGGGGAGCACCTGCGATCTTTGTCTCCAAGAAAGATATCACTCTCCGTATGTGCATAGATTACAGAGAGCTAAACAAGGTGACTATCAAAAATAAGTATCCGCTACCTAGAATTGATGACTTGTTTGATTAGTTGAAGGGGACAGCCATGTTTTCTCAGTTTGATCTCAAAACGGATTACCATCAGATGGGTGTGTCAGAGAAAAGTATACCGCTTACTGCTTTTCGGACCCAGTATGGGTTGTATGAATTTCCTGTAATGCCTTTTGTTTTGGCAAATGCTCCTGCCTATTTCATGGACTTGATTAACAGAATTTTTCAACCGTATCTAGATAAGTTTGTGATTATCTTCATAGATAATATCCTGGTATATTCTAAGAATGAGGAGAAACACAGTGAACACTTGAAAGTTGTATTGCAGACTTTGAGGGAGCAACAATTATACGCTAAGTTCAGTAAGTGTCACTTTTGGGAGAAAGAAGTTCGATTTTTGGGGAATGTTGTTGTAGACGCGCCCGAACGTCACGGGGGGAAAATCCCGTTTTGTTCATTAGGCTCACTACAGTTCGGACTCAAGTGTCACGGTTCTTAATCTGATCTTGCAAAGTGCAATGCGAGATTGATAAATCACCAATGAGTCCAAATCCGGCAAATCGTTTTGAAAAACTGAATTTTAGAAAGAAGTGTCAAACATGAACTGCTTTGCTAGATACAGAGTCGCCATCTAAATATTTTATTTTTGGGAAATTTAGGAAACCCTGACTCGTGCCTAAGGCCACGTGTCCGTCATCACCAAAGTTGCCTCGGCTCGGGAACTTGGGTACGAGAGGGGAAGGTCATACAATGAGCACCCCTGCTCGTCCGATCAAAGATCGGCCTTTACTAACATGATATCTTGTTTTTGAAAACACATGTGCTCTTATTCCGGTTATTAATCTAGAATTATTATGTGATACGCACAGCATACAAGTATTGTGATAACCCTGTTCCGTA